CTAAACCTCAAGACTCTTTCAACTGAACGTACAGTAGAGCGATTTTTAAATATGCAGACGCCAAGTAGCAGGGTATTAATATATTTATTTATTTTAATTATTTGACGTATTAAAAGACCTAAATATGCTACAAATAAATGACGCTGATATTGATAATAATTACATTAAAATATAAACAAATAAAAACTGTTGCCCCTTGCACGATATATAAAATTTTTTCTTTTCTATTATTTCGCAGGGAAAAATATCCGCTCCCGAATGATGCGCACAGTCAAAAAACGTTTCCTATTCGCCAACGTTAATTTGATTCAGTATTCTTGTATTCTCGACCGCTGCCAGCAGTACATTGAATATTTTTACTAGCGAATTGTCTGTTGTTTCCAACATGACACGTTCACGTTATGAAAGAATAAAATAATTTGCACCGGAGAGAAAATTGCGCTGTCTTTTATTTTATCACTATTTCCCATGTAGTCTTTTATTACTGCTTTTCCTGTATTCACGAGTGTTTACGTTCACATTCGAATGTGCACTGGCTGCGCTAGTATATTCACGCGCGATCGTGATTGTGTTGATACGCGTACACGTTCGAACGAAAGCTTCATTGGATTGAATAAATCTCACACGGCTTTGCTCCGTCTGCCCTGTAAAGAGATATGTTTGTAACCGCGCATTTCCATTTGGAATCTGGCGAGGCGTGTATTTTACAAATTGTCCCTCTCGGCGTGCTCTTGAATTACCTGTAAATTCTGATTCAAGATTAATCGAATCCGCGGTAGCCGTTGCGTTTGACCGACGCTGCCAACACGTTTCTATGAGGCAATGAGCTTTGAGCCAGACACTGGTCTCCCGCCTGTATTGTTGCACCGGATAATAATATACGTACAGCACAAATATTCTCGGTTTACGCTATCGAATCGATCCATAAATCTGCATTCCCAGCGGAATTAAAACGGGCAACCTTCGGTGTAGATACAGTGTCAGTTTAACTCGATGTAGCATAAACTTGGCAAGAAAAACAAGGCGTACGATTAAGAAAGAAAGTAGGACGAGAATTTTGAGCCTGTATGAAACTTAGCTCTCAACTCCTTTCTTTATTCCTTTAATAATAAAAGAAAAAATTTACTAAGTGACATATGTCAATTAATGTTACTCTCTTGATTTGTACGTTTATAACAGTTCTCGAAAAATTTTTATGAGCGTGTTCTCTATTTATTTGTTAAAGTTTATTCGTTACTTGCAATTAATTGTTAAGTGTTTTTATATTTCGATGTGATTTATGATGATACTATTAAGCGGAGCTCAATATATTACAGCAAAATTTATTGAAATAAAATGTAACCTTCGATGGCGCGTCAAATTTAAGTATGTAAAATTATTTACGATACAAACTGACTTATAACTGCTAGAACAATATTGCAAACTGTCAAGATCAGGGGGTAAAAAATATTTCATTACTGAAGAAGTAATTTAATACGATGGGGCTATTGAGTTGCCTGGAGCAAATCAGTTTGGGATTATTGATATTTTTCTTGCGTGCTTGCGCCGCTTTTCTCTGTCCTCGACGCTTCCTGCCGGAAATTAACGAGGGGACGGTAACGAATCGCTGCCTTCCTTCTGTCAATCGTGCAATCTTGAAATAAGCCGAGTATACGATTAATATTCTCCTATTGAAATTACTTTTGTCACCCCAGGGATTAATTTACATCTAAATAAAATTTCCGAGCGATGAATTATTAAGGAAGTTTATTAAGCAGTTTTCAGGCACATGGATAAATAGACGGATAAGGGCTATGTTTTAGTTCCGTTAATCTGCTATGTCAAAGTTTCAATATTACTTGGACGTAATTACGTTTTAATTACGAAGATATTTAAAAATTAAAAAAACGTGAAGAAAGTTACATTTAATAAAACTTGCCGGGAAAAAATGTACTTAAAATTTAGTCACTAAATTTATAGTTGCGCGAAAAAAAACGGTAAGTTAATCGAAGAGCAGGACCTTGTAACGATTATTTCTAAATAATAGGGACCGCTAAAAGGGGAAGGCAAATATAGGGCGAGGAGTGCCGCCAGCGGATGTGCAAGTGGTGACGCGGCATAGTTTTCAAGATGAAACAATGAGAACTAGCGACACGGTCAGTCGCAAGCTGGGAGCGGACTCGCTCGTCCATGATCAATTATTGTCATCTAGAAGCTACGCCTGACAAAACTCATCTAAGATTGTAAACGCAGTCGAAACGCACAACGCGGAAAAGAAGTGAAGGAGAAGAAGCAGAGAAGGAAACTTACAATCTTCCGGATAAAGATCTGATGCGTGCTGTGTTTAATTAGCGTAACGGACGAGTAATATTCGTAAGCAGAACAACAACACGATTTCGCGATCTACGTTGTTAAAGAGAAGAAACACACAATTACGTAAATCGCAACAACTTTTTTGTTGAAAATGTAGCGCCGACGACGAAGGAACGGCAGGTGTACTTAGTATTTAAAATAATTGCGTATCCAAGATTAAGCTTGTTTGCAAATCGGACTAGTAGGAATGTCACTTGAAATTTATCAAATGTCAAACTCTCGGAACGATTTGGTTTCGCAGAAATTCCGAAACAAAGTTGATCAAGTTCTTAAATAGTCGAATTTGTCGGCTTTTGCTTTCTTTGTCTTTTCCCCCTCCCGAGAATACGGGAAGAATCTAGTCTGACGTGAAAATTAAAAAAAAAATCAGGCTTGTGTGAAGTATTGAGCAATTACATTCTTCTGGGGAACTTTGCTGCACGATTTAACGAGTTGCCTTTTTCCCTGAACTGCCTTCAGCTTCGCAGTAGGCGGAGATCTATTCTGCGATCTAATCGGATAATTGCCGAGAAGGATAATTTGCGTTCCTTCCTTCTCGATCGACGTGTTCTACCAGACTCGAGATCAATGTGCAAATGTAGCAGAGTCCCGATAGCTATCGAGGTTCCGTCGAGTTCTAAACAATTTACAGAAAATTATTAAATAGTTTCTTCGACGCAAAGCAACTTTTCTGCTTTTCCCCGAGAGATCTTACATATCGAGGTGACGTAATACAGTCGTGTGTACACGTTTGGAATTTAAAAAGTATTATTTATGGCCCTTATAGTCTCTATTATTTTTTTCACTTTTCTTACATAATCGCAGTCTCTTTTTCTCGATAGCCCGTATCCACGCTTGATCTTATTCTATCTTGATTTCACGCGGGCCTGTTGAGGCACTTGCTGTCGAGGCATTTGATGGTCGATAGCGAGACAAAAGCGCTTTTACGAGAAATGAATTACGCGCGCGGCGGAGCGAGAGAGACGGGCTCTGTAATTCGATTCGCGCGCGTGCATCATACTTTTATGACCACCGCGATGTTTCTTAACTTTATTAATTGCTGCAACCTCATTGCGGCAATTTGATGCTTCGCTGTGGAGATCATTATAAGTTAGACGGCGGGAGCGCGAACGCGAGACAGCGTCGGTGTCGCACTTACCTGCGCACCTACGCCCGCGATGCGCCGCATGTGCGAGTGTGTGTACATAGCCGCAGCAATTACTTAAGGCCCAGTCGGTGTAAGACGCTCATGTAACTTGGCCGACGAAACTTTACCGGTTACTCTCTTAGTCTCATCCATTAGTAGACGGGCCCGCCCTGCGACACGGTTGCGGTTACGTGTCTCGCTTTAGCGCTTTAGCGTTTACACGCGGCCGGGTTTTTATCAGCGTTGTAAGTTTAGGTGACAAGAAGCACGGTAAACTGGCTATTAATTCGCCAATAGTTAAAGAAAGTTGACTAAGTATTACACCGAGAAGAACAATTCCCGCATCAACGTTCCTCCCGTCTAAGCGTCTTGTCGATATCAAATATTTCTTAGAGTCATTTTCGTGGAATGGCTTAATGAAATACTTGCTATCGATTCATCTTGTATAAATCAATCGAATCCATTTTAACATATGCAATAAGAATATTTTAAATATAAATTGTTACCAAAATTTATGTTCATATTATAATAAAAAGTTAGTCGTCGTAATAGACGAATTACTAACATTCTTATTGGATCGAGGGCACTTAAGGGCATTCCACTTTAACAGCCCAAAAGCTATGCTTACCTTTAACAATTTTTTTACAGTAAATACACCATACAATGAAATAAATCCTTCTGGGATTTGTTAGGGCGCTCTTAAGTAACACAAAAAAATATTTGCCATAATTTAAACAATTTTTTAATTAATCTATATGAGTGTCGCTATGCCCTGAACCTCAATTATGAATTTTTATTTAAAAATAACAAAATGGTGCCAGTTTGAAAAAAGTTTTGAAAAGTTCCTTTTAAGGTAAAGTGGAATGTTAAAGTGGAACGACCCCTTAATTAACAATTATCTGCGCACCAACTGTGCGTAATGCAAGTGTTCGCTAATAGGGAAAGCTGCGTCCAATCAGCATTAGTCTTCTTTCTTGCCGTGTCGACGGCATATAACGGCACTCAATACGAAAAACCGATTTGCATTATCCGCTGAAGGCGAAATAATATCGGATTAATTCAGTTACACCGACGTTAACGAGCAGCCGGGAAAAGATGATCGATATCACGAGGGGGGGAGGGAATATCTTTGGGAATCGCTTTCAAAGATCTTTAGGGGCTGCGCCGCCAATTAATTGGGATCGCGTCCGTAAATTACCGAATTAATCGTGAAATTAAAAAGGATGACGAACGAGGGGGCCGACTCCTTCCTGTCTCGGGGCATCTTACATTGAATCTGCAATTAGCTATCGACTTATCTGGCAGGACGAGGGCAGGAGTCAAATCGAGAAAGTCGGTTTCCCTGTCTCCGAATCTGAATACACGCCTCCTCGCTCTTCTCTCTCTCTCTCTCCCTCTCTCTCTTTCTCTGTTTGTCTATCTGTGTCCCTATCTCTATATTTCTCGACTGCTGTTCTTTCCCTCTACACCAGCCAATTAGGTTAATTAACTCAATTATCGTTCTCTTTCTCTCCTGTTTCAGGTGCGCACCTTGTTCGTGAGCGGCTTGCCGATGGACACCAAGCCGAGGGAGCTCTATCTGCTTTTCAGAGCATACGAGGTGAGTCTCTCTCTCTCTCCGAGAATTTCTCTCTATTCGCTTTATTTTATATATAGATGTGCATTCGCGATGTTGAGATCAAAGGGTCCGGGGAGAATTCAAGATTTGAGAAGTCAAATATTCTGACGGCGATGCGGGAGGACCCATCGCGCTCGCGAATGTGCACGATGTGATATTGGAGGACGTAAAGTTCTGGCAATATTAATATTCTATCGTGGAACATAATCGAAAAACGAAAGCGGAAACAGAGTTCAAAGATCCAAGAGCTTACGGCAGTATGTGGCATGTTTGAGTCATAATTTTCGGGACATTTACGTTTAAACATTTCTACTTCGGCATTTCAAAATCTCCATTTTTTTTCATGTCCGTCGGACAAATGAAAATATAATTTTCCATTAATTTCGCGGTAAAGTTGTTTAACAATTAACGATTGTACATTGGTAATTAATTTCGCAGCACCGTATGCAAATCCGTATGCAAAAATGTCGAAATACGAAAACAGACCGGTAGTCGCGAATTGATCTCACTTCGCTGTAGATTTATTTATACCTCGCAGACGGTAATTTCTTTCTTTCCTCATTATCGCGCCAATTACCATCGTTTTCCTCATCTGACTCTTCGCCGCCGCGTTCGACTCGTTCAATAAGCTGAGCGGTCTACGGTTCTCGTGGTATCGTGCGAAACGCAACATTATGACTGAAACGTTCGAACTGTATTCACAAGGGGAATATTCCCCTTATGAATCATACTCGTCTACGCCGACCATCCGCAACGGGAGAGACGGTGTTCCTCTATAACGTCATATTTGCCCGACTCGGGATCCTAGTTTAGTTTGTCTAGGGGGTTAATTATGTCGGTGCCAATTACGAGCTTGCATTTCAAGCCCCGACACCAAGCGGGGACGAAAAATCGATAGCCATGGAATTTGATGCTCCTCCAATCCCGTAATTCGACATGTGTACGAAAACTCTCGTTACTTTTAGCTCATGCATTCATATTTTGACTATTCGAACCGCAGGCTGATGTACATAGATGACAATTTCGCAAACCGAGCAATGGCAAAGGGGGCTGAGAAAAATGAAGTTTCTTTTTAAAAAGGACTATATCTACTTGGAAATTTTATTTAATTGCGCTTTCCAAATCAATGCCAACCTAATTAACGACCAGTCTGACAAAATTTACCAAAGACTATGCTACAGTGAAAGCCAGAAGCGTTCCGTGTGCGCCTTCGGTACGAAATTGAATCGCGATTTAGATCGATAGCGGCCGGAGTGAAGAGAAACCGCGGTTATTTGTTGCCGGGAAAGGAAGGACAGGTGGAAAAACGGCGAAATTGTTCTCGCTCCATTTGGAAATCTCCCTCGAAAGTTTAAATCCGGGGGGCTCTCTCGAGCGTGTCGTTATTCGACAGCGAAAAAGGCGGCGCGGCGCGGCGCGACACGGCCTCTTTTTTTTTTTACTCCTAGCTTCGAGCCTTGTTTTGTATATTCATGAAATCGTTGCGAGCAGCTCGCTCAAAGGGATTAGGATTAGTCGCGTGGGTGTGCTGGGAATTACATTTCCGTCGGTACCGCGAGCGCCGTGAGCGAAGTATACATAGAGTCCGAACAGCGTCTCTTCTTTACGTAACAGCCTCGGGGCACTTTAAATAATATGATTTTACGCGACGAAGTGTAATACAGTAATTTTCTGATTGAATTACGGCCTAATAGAAAAGAAAGGATACTCGATGAACTCGTAAATTGCGTTTGTGCAATACTGAAGGGCATCGAGGTGGCATCATTTGTATACGTATTACGCGATTATTCGTGCACGTACGTGCGCGATAATGTAAAGTGTGAAATTGAAAAGACTTAGGACCGGTTTTTCCCAACCTCTTGGTGGGCTAACTAATTATTATGTTATATGTCTGTCTTTGTCCAATTTGAAAGAAGAACAGAGGTATATGTATATATAATTTAACTATTAGTTAATTTACCGAGAGGTTGGAACAACCGGCCCTAAGAGAGTCTGACTTTAAAGAGGAGGGAGAGAGAGGAAAAACAAAGACGTACACATGATTTAACTGTTAGTTAATTTACCGAGGGGTTGGAACAACCGGTTCTTAGGGCCGGTTTTTTCAACCTCTTGGTAAGCTAACTAATAGTTAAATTACATATCTATCTTTGTCTGATTTAAAGAGAGACAGGAAAAACAAAGACGTACATATGATTTAACTATTAGTTAAATTGCCAGGTTGGGAACAATCGGCTCTCAATGATATAATTATTAACATAAATAGTGCACAGCAACGCGATGAAATTCTTTGTATGTATCGATTATGCAAATCGATTCCATTTACCATTGTCACGGCTTCAATGGATTTCTGTTGATTTTCTGGTTTCTCTAAATTTTTCCATGACTCCGGAAACATTTATTTTACTGCAAATTTCAATTCCCTTTAATACTTTCTGAAATTACAAAAGTTTAATTATCTTCGATGAAAGTTCCCGCTAAGCTTTTTAAAACCGAATGAAAAATGAAATACTGTTATCTACGCGTATTCCAGAAATTGTTCGGTGCATCAATTTGTTTTCACTCAATTGATACGCGCTGTTCGCTTTCTATTACGACCCAGATAAAATTTTGGATGCGATACCTGATGCCGTTCTATATATACATGATGCAACGAGAAATATTAACTTGCCTCTACGCGCGAACCTTCATCCGGCCGTGATTCTTTTCATAAATTTGTTTTTCTCGCAGAGCACGAATTGAATATCTTATTCCGCGAGCGAACGGATCGTTTTACGGCGTTGTCGAGTAAAAAGTCGAAATTATTGTTACAATTGCCTTGAAGCATGTTGCGTTATCGAAGAGCTGAAAATCGGATCACGGCGGAGAGAATGCGAGCGTCGCGGGCGCGGAAACGCGCGCGTTTTCCCGTGCAACGACGGCGATGTGGGTGTGATGTATATTGACGGCGATCGTGTTACGCACGCGAATTGCAACTCCTCGTATCAAGAGAGAATGCGATTTCTTGGCATCGATACGACGCATAACTGGCGACATACCGCGAACAATAAACCTTGAGTGGCACCGCTCGCGCGTTATTTTCGCCCGCAAATCCCTTGGTGCACGCGCGAGGAATCCCGGAGTCGCCGCGAATCCGGTTATTAATCGTCTTTGAGATATCGTAACGTTATACGTTGCGCATAATCCGCGCGACCCGCTTTCCGTGGATTTACGACGAGTTCTCAGCGCGCCGGAAGAAGAGTCGGACGGATCAGTTGCTCTCGTATTCATCGCGAAACTTTCGGAGAAGCGCAGCGACTATTTGCGCGTAGTATCGCGCGGGCGCAACATATGCGAGTGACGGCGGAGACTCGATTATGCTCTCCCTCCCGAGAGGCCTTTTAATGACAGCGATATTTCATAGTTAAGGGAAGTTAATTAATAATGCGCGAGACCAAACCGAGCGCCAAGAATGTTGAAACGGATGTCACGTACCGATATATCTAAGACCACCTTATAACAATAAGACGCATAGTTTTTTGGACCGACGTAAGTGAAATTTAATATTGAAATTTATAGCGCCGCGTGTATTCATCATATTTTGAACGCGATGAATTATAGAAAAACGATTAATCAGTCTAATGATTTGCGCTAGATACAAATCAATTTGCCTTTCCAACAATTACAGTGTCGCCGCAAAATTAAGTTTTACATTTCGCAGATTTAAGGATTTTTATTTTAATTGATATCAACAACTATGCAGCAATATTTCATGGTTAGGACAGGCTGATTAATGACGCGAGATTAAGAGGCTCGCGGGTGCCAAGAATGTTGTAACAGATACTTGGGAAATCTCGCACATCGATCCATGCGTCTAAAGTGAGACATTTAGACGAAACTCAAATTTATCATAAAATTTCTTAATTTACTTAAATAATAACGTCCACCTTTATGTTTAAATTGTTAATAGAGTTGTATCGAGAGGGAACAATCGATATAGAATTAATTCAAGTATAATTATAAAAAAATATTTAACTAATTATTTAAAGTTCTCAATTTATATTATATTCTTACGCAACTGTAGATTCAACTATAAGAGATTTTGCCACGAGACTTTTCATCTTATTTTTATTTGCATATGCATTGATTTCGGGTGATATTATGAGAATTGCGGTTATACACAGTTAATTGACATGTTATCGGTATTTACATAAATCTCGGAAAGTTGCACGAAGCAGTTTTTGCGATGTGCTCGCGTATGCAAGTTCGGGCTCGAAAAAACGTTTCCTGGCACGTCGGATAAACGTTCCGAGACTTACCGCGCTCTCTAATTGCGGCTTCGTTAATTAGCGCTTCCATCGCGATCGCGCAATTATTAACAGTTTGGTACTCCGGTAATGAACACTACTTATGGCGTTCGCATGTAAGCGAGTGCTCATCTCGCGCGTTCCACTTGCGGTTCTGTTATAAAAATTAAGGAAACGTTACCTCACCGCGAGGATTGCTTTATCCTTCGCGGTAGCGCGAAAATAAAGATTCTCGATAGCGCAGTAACCAAGTGTTACACATAAAACTCGCGGCAAATTAAAAACTCTCTTGCACATGTAATAATCGGCTTTTCTCGTATCGGGAAACGAAATAGAGAACGTTAAAAGTAGATAATTCACGGCCGCTAAGGAAGTAACGACACTTTGTACTTTCGCATCTGCGTTAGATATTTAATAAAATGTGCGCGAATGTCTCGCCTCACTTTTTACCCCGCTGCTTTTTGCTATTCTGAATTGTCTCCATAAATCCTATGGCTAAAAGACCCGCGGCGAACACATTTTGGCTAAGTCACGCAACCGTATACATCATGTGTGCACTATATTTTTATAAAACACTTCCTCAGAATAGGAACTACGTATAGTTCTATACACGTTAGTCATTTAAAAACGTTCGTTGCTCCGTTTTCAAATATCGAACAGTGTAATGTTTATTATTTCAAAACGTTACCGTAGAAAAATCGAAGGATTTCTTCTAAATAGAAGAACTGTCCTCTTATTATTTTTCTCAGAAACACGAAAACAGATACGCTTGTATGATATATTTTACTACTTAGAAATGAAATACTTGTGTACGTCTATTTTTCTCTTATTTTATTACTACACGGAGAGAGTTTTCTTTTAAAATTTATCCTGAAAATCAAGTAATCATGGGACAACGTGTTATTTTGAAGAAGTTTATGAGAAGTAACTTATGAGAGTTTTTTGAAATTTTACCATACAACTTGACCATTGTATTTAGTACACATTTTACTAGTAAAATGTATGGTAAAATTTCGAAAAACTCTCATAAACTTCTGCAGCGATTACGTGATACTCAGCGTAAATTTTCAGAGAAAATTCTTTCCGTGTAGATACGCGCGCCGTCATAAAACTATCAGAGATTGTGTCTCTTTTTTTTTTTAAACAAAATCCATAAATATTGCATGCACAAAGTTGGTCAATTTTGTTTAACCATATCGGTAACAAACAATATTTTGATATGGCGAAAGTTTTAATAACCGTAATATTTTTCCTGTTCCAGGGGTACGAGGGGTCGCTGTTAAAAGTCACGAGTAAAAATGGGAAAACAGCGTCGGTAAGTTGCCATCGCTTAATTGACGATATCATTAGCCGACGTTACGTTTGCAACATCGCGTTTTTTTAACGGCTCCAGTCGTTTCCGAAAAAAGCGCATCGAGCTTTTAACACAGATAAATTTGCCCTAGATTCGCGCGCGTGGTAGCTCGATACTGTCGATATACGTCGTTTCTTCATGCACTTGAGAAGACGAAGAGATAAAATTGGATCCCGGCTTTTCTCAAGCACATTTCTAGAAAACGTACATTTCGAGAAAACTCCGAATCAATTACGCGGAGTAGTAAAAATAGTGAAAACTCTCTTTCTCCCTCCCCCCGGCCTCTTTTTTTCCTTGGCATGACTATTCTCAAGGGAAAAAGCGAATGGAAAAAGTTGGTCGGTCAAACCGCAAGTTTCGATCGAATTCTCGAGCCACCGGGGAGTTTACGTGATTTCGTGCATTCTCCGTTATACACTCTCGTCGATTCTTCGCCGACCCATTTTTATTAACAGAATTATGTAATACGTCGAATGTCGCTCGCCGCACATTCGCATAAATTTTTCATCACCGAGCAAACTTTGTCCCACTTTGTCGCACAAGGTGGAAAGAGCATAATTTTCTTTTTTTTCCTATATCAAATATCCCCTTTTGAAAAGTGATAACTCGCAGGATTTTAGAGATAAACTATTTTCTCTCTGTATATAAAAGAATGAAGAGTATTTTGACGTCTTGTTACGCGACGCTACGTAAGCTTCGAACTCGCGAGTATTAAAATTGCAGTTTGAAAATGAAAAATTGAAAGCGGCAGCTGCTTATGCTAAAAGCTTTTTTTATTTATTCAAAGCGCACTCGTTGATTACGTGAGTCACGAAGCCTTAAAAATATCTAATCAGCCGACAGAGAGAAATACATCAAATTTCATCATGCGGCAATGCCATCGCGCGCTACTCAACCCAGTATAATCCCCCGAGATAACATTAATTTATGCGGCGACGCTGGAACAGCACACGCGAGAGCATACTGACGCTGTAAAGTCCTTAATCCATAAAGCATTTCAACATTTTTTATTCTGATATCTATTTTTCTCCATCCCGTAGACTTTGTATCTCGCGCGCGATAGATGTTACGACTGTCTAAAAAAAAACAAAAAACTGCGACGATTGTATTGACCGCTAA